CCGCTACCCTTCCCATTGGCTAATCAGGGCGATAAGCAAATTAACTGCCAGCCAAGATGGCGGCTGGCAGCCATGCAGCTTAAACTGAACAGGAGGCTTGGTTGCCCCAGCGATGGAGGAAGCCAAGGTTCCCTGCCTGAGGCTGCGGGGCTCTGAGCTCCTGAAGCAACAGCTCCAAAAGATACAATGTTTCAATTATAGAAGCTAAAAGATGGCGGTTAATTTGCATACGCAGGCTCCAAGTGGTGGAGTGAAGCCAAACAGCCCCGAAGCCGCAGAGCAGCGAGGCCTCACCGCCTGGGGATCAGCAGAGCCGGAAGGCCTCAGGCCCCAGGATCAGCAGAGCCGAGAGGCCTCCCGGCCCCGGGATCAGCGGAGCCTGATGGAAGCCCTGTGTGTTTATGCACCCTGGGGGTGCAGAGGTCCTGTCCTAGGCAGAGGCCAATGGCGAAACTTCCGACTCCGAGAAGCGGCCTGGGGGCTGGAAGGCGGCTCCTCTGACCTCAGTGCTGGAGTCCCGCCGCTCCACCAGGAGAGGAGCAGAGAAAGGCCAGAGCCTCCCTCAAGGTGACCCAAAACCCCCACCCACATCAGGCAGGCTGCTGGGTCTGTGCGCAGAGGACTCGCCTCCAAGCCCAGCCGGTGGCCCTGCCACAGCCATGGCATTCCTGGGTGCAGGCCCCAGCGGGACGCTGGGTGGCAGCCGGGGCGCCTTGAGTCCTGGGCTCCTTGCCTGCCTTATGCGGCTTCCTCCTGCTTTAGGGCCTCGCCCTCCGCCAGCCTCCTCCTCCCCAGCTCCCAGAGCAGAGGACCCACTGGATGAGGACCCGCTGGATGAGGCGGTGAATGGAGCAGTGGGGACTCCCGGGTGAAGGCTCACCCTGGGGAGGAGTCCCGACACCTCCACGCCCTGCTCCTGGAGCGCTGCTCAGGTCCTGAGCTCAGCCTGGAGCCGCGCAGGCCTGGAGGGCACAGGTGGGGGTGGGGGAACATGCGCCTGGTGCAGCGGGTTGGGCTGGGGAGCCGCCTGCCTTCGGGGGCCTCCTCCTGCTTCAGGGCCTTGCCCTCCTGGGTGCAGGCCCCTGTGGACACGGGGTGGTGGCGGGGGCGCAATGCGTCCTGGGCTCCTTGCCTGCCTTACGCGGCTTCCTCCTGCTTCAGGGCCTCGCCCTCCTTGGTCTCCTCCTCCCCAGCTCCCAGAGCAGTGGACCCACGGAGGGCGCTCCCGGCTGGCCAAGGGGGTGAATGGAGTGGCGGGGACTCCTGGGTGAAGGGTCGCCCTGGGGAGGAGTCCCGACACCTCCACGACCCGCTCCAGTTCAGCAACATCCCCAAGATCGCGCATCTGCACCACGGGCTGTGGGGCAGCGTGATGGCGCCAATGGTGGAGAAGGCGCTGCGCACGCGGGCGCTGCTGCAGCCCGGCACCTCCTCAAAGGCTTCAAGATGTTCGGCTCCCTCTTCAACCCCTACATCCGGTACTGCATGGAGGAGGAGGGCTGCATGGAGTACATGCGCAGCCTGCTGCACGACAACTACCTCTTCCGGGCCTACGTGACGTGGGCCGAGAAGCACCAGCAGTGCCAGCGACTGAAGCTGAGCAACATGCTCGCCAAGCCCCACCAGCGACTGACCAAGTACCCGCTGCTGCTCAAGTCGGTGCTGAGGAAGAGGGAGGAGCCACGTGCCAAGGAGGCTGTTATCACCATGATCAGCTCCGTGGAGCACTTCATCCACCACGTGAACGCGTCCATGTGGCAGCGACAGGAGCGGCAGCAGCTGGCGGCCGTGGTGAGCCGCATGGACGCCTACGAGGTGGCGGAGGGTAGCAACGACGAGGTGGACAAGCTCCTGAAGGAATTTCTGCACCTGGACCTGACCGCCTCCATCCCTGGTACCTCCCCGGAGGAGATGCGTCAGCTGATGTTGGAGGGCAGCCTGAGGATGAAGGAGGGAAAGGACAGCAAGATGGATGTGTACTGCTTCCTCTTCATGGACCTGCTCTTAGTGACCAAGGCAGTGAAGAAGGCTGAGAGGACCAAGGTCATCAGGCCACCACTGCTGGTGGACAAGATCGTGTGCCGGGAGCTG